TATTAAATCAAAAGTATGAATTAGATTCCAAATGCCGTCACAGGAGTAGGTTTAAACTTATCTAATATATTTTTGATCTTACTTAATCTTTGCTTATCTAACCCATCTAATGGGTTATATAGTTTTACCTTCTCTATATCAATTCTATCTGATAACCTTCCACTACTTTACGAACTCCCTTTTCTTTGATTTTTTTATCCTTTTAATTTTTTTTAAGTTTTTTTTGATTAAAACTTTAATATTCATCCACAGAAAGGATTCAAATGATTTAAAAAGCTTCCAGGAATTAATGCAATGAGTGAAACCGTGATGAAATTTTAGTACCAGTGCTTCAAACTTGGCCAGTAATCTGTTGAAAGTGATTCACATTCTAGAAGGCCTTCAACAAGCAGAATCCCCAAAATATTGAATGCATGTAGGCTGCAATCAAGAATATTATTGATTAACAATACAAGAATTAAACAATTTGGGGAATTCCACAAAATATTGTTTCAAAATATTTGACAGAGGATCTTGGCATGAAATATACGGTGATAAGATTCTACAGCATTTGTCACAAGAACAGAAGAAATTTCAGCCTCATATTGTACAGACCTTACTTGAAACTACTAGGAATGAGGCCGAATCAGTTCTCTCAACCGTACATATCTGGCTTATACAATTTGGGGGGGGGTGTTACAAAATCATTTCAAAGGACAAGATGTCTGACAGTGGAGAAGATGAAGGTTGCTGATAATCATCATGTAAGAATGCTTTGTAGGTTGTTTTGAAAAGGGAACAGATGCCAGGATAAGTATTGGTGACTTTCCTAGAGGAGTACTATAAAAGGATAAAGATATTATTGCCCTAGGTGGGCTATTTTTCATTAACAGTAAATGGTTGGATGCTTTCTGCATAAACTGTATATGTGTATAAAGATAAATAAAACAAGCAATTCAAATATTTACCAAAAAAAAAAAAAAAAGAAGAAACAATCAAACATAGTTTAACAATTGAAACCATTCAGTTATTTGTTATCAACAATAACTTTATACAAACAAAAATTCGGAAAAAAAAATGTTCACATAATTATTTAACAATGATAATCTTTAGATAACTTTAAGGTTCAACTCAAACTAAAAACTGGTGAAGCAATTGTGCATAACATAACATCTTTGCAAAAACACGAATAGAGGCTCTATATTTATATTGCATAATTGTATATAACATTTCCCTATTTTTTTTAATCTAAAAATAAATAACACTAACAAAAGAAAATTGATCATTTAATTCTCTTTCAGTAGTTCCCATCTATTTGATTTATAAATTAATTTTTTTTAATCATTTCACTCCAAGCAAAGCAATAAAGCCACTAAGACACTGAGGGTTACTGAGTGTGAAAGAATATTAAAAAAAAAAAAGGAGTGACAACAATAAGAGAACAGGAATCAAGAAGACAGAAGGTAACGATTGACATTTTAAAAGTATTTCATCTCAGGCAATACCAGATAATCTTTATTCATTAATTTGTTGTTGTTTTTTTTTTTTTTTGCAAATTCAATACTTCCATGCCTGTATTTATAAGACCCCTCTCATTATCTTATAACATTTTCCCTCTTTGATGTGTCACAATATAGTCAATATGACCCACCCCCATTGATGTCATTTGATTTTGTTTTACTTCACTAGCTACCTCTCCACCCCTGTTGTTTAATTTTGATCTGAAGAAGTTTCTTGGTGAAATTAATTGAAACAGTGCATTGGGCAGTAGAAATTTTAATCACAGTAAGTGTAAACCACTGAATGGAAAGAAAAATAAATGTTTACTTATGCATATAAAAAAAAGAAAGATTTCGATTCAGGAATAAAAGTGGCCTTAACACTTAATTTTTGATGAAGCATGCAGTTTCATAAGCTCTTCTATGGTGAAGTGGTTGTCTACATTATTGTTGGTATTGAAATAAATAAGGGCAAGATTTTGTAGTGGCAAGAGTGACTGAGTGGATATTTGTTCAAGAGATTATATGAATAAGTCCTGGATCAAGTTATTCTTCTATAAACTTCAAACTTGTTTTGAAGTGAGGACTTCTGCTTGCAACAAGTCCTGTTGTCAGTCATCCATCTCAGTGGCTCATGACATACTACACTGCAAACTGCTATTTTACATCTTCAGGACAGTTATAGCATAGAGAAGACTGTGTAGTGCCAAGTGAATGATATAAGAAGCTTGATGCAGGATTCAACTTTGGTCTCAGATACAAAGTCCATATTTAAATCATGCATCACTGCTCAATGCCAGTCCTGCAAATGAAAATTTCTGGATTAAGAGAAGTGATCCGTTGCTTACAGTTGCCATCCCTCAACTTAGTTAACCTTCAAAAGGGAGCTGTTTATATTGAGAATTCCAACATAAACAAGAAATAAAATCAATTGTTCAAAAATATTCATCACTTCCCTGTATGCTTAATCATTTTCCAAATTAGGCAACCAATTTTACATATACATCTCTCTTTAGGGATTATTCCAGTTCATGCCTTGCTACCATGCAATTACATTGGCTCGATTCCCTCTCGCCATTACCATTACAAGGCCCTCATAAAGTATGTCAAGACTTATTTGTTTTACTGAATTCAGCCGTCACCATTTCTCACCTCTTTCCTTTCATTATTTCTTTCTCTTCCTTTCTTACCTCCGAAACTAAAATAATCTCTTTCTCTTCTTCTTCACTTTGTAGGACACAATTTTAGATCAATAAAATTTCTTCCCAAGCCTTCAACTTTAGACAATGAACCTTGGGTCACTCAAGGTCAGATTCCAGGTCATCATTAACAATTCTTTTCCTAAACAAGCCCAAGTGTATCATTTATCACTTGTCAACAATGTCCACATTTTGGGTTAACAATAATTCTCAACATTTATAGCTTTCAATTGCAAGAAGAAATAAAAAATATTTTCATTTATATTTGGTTACAAATACCTAACTTATCATAGAAACATGATTTTTAAACCATAATTACAAAAATAAAAATAATGTATTTTTTTCTCTATTCATCAGAATCACAGGATCTGTATTTTGATTTTCTAAAGCAAATATTGTTAATTTACATGCAGTATCCAAATTTCCCAATTGATTTTTTCTGCTTTTACTTATTAATTTCATAAAGCAAATTTCAAATTGTGATTGATTAGTGCCCCCATAACTTACTCAGCAACCTGTTATGCACTTGTAAAATCCATACGAGTAACAGTACAACATATACTTAGTGAATCAAATGTACACTTTTAAAAGTCTAATATATATAACAGACATGCAAAAAAAAAAAATGATAAACAGCAATACACCAAATAGTTTCACTCCTCTATTTGTAGAAATTTCTGTGGCAACCATAGGATGCAGAGGATTTAACACTATTTGACCATAGAATGATTATTGGTCCAGAATGATAGATTACTATGAGGTGTCAACTAATCAAGGTTTCTACTGAGCAACAGCAGCAAGAGTATACTAGGAATAGGTGAATTCTTGAAAGATATCAGCAACACATGAAAAGTCTGGGTAGCCACAGCTGAATCAGGTACAGCGCTGCCAGTGACTAACAAGAATGTTAACCCAACAAAGGAGGAACATTTCATAAAAATTACATTCCACTCACCCCATCAGTCAATGCAATTTAATATATAAACCCCCATTCCATGAGGTTTCATAATCAGTGACCAATTGCAGCATTGGTTGCTGCACCTGACCTGTGCCTAAGAACATTACCATTGTACTATAGAAGACTGCTGCTGTCTTGCCTGGTCAGACAAGTCATGTTTCCAGTTCATTTGGGCAGATAGTCAAGTTCATATATGGTGGTGATCTTTGTAAACAAGTGGGTTATATTCTATTGGTATTGGCAAAGATCCTAATGAAAATTGTAATCTATTTTGACAGACATGACATCTTATTGCAGACCATTTTCACCTTCTTATCATCATCATAGCAGTGTTTTTTTTTTTTTCTTGAGACAGGATCAGGATTAATCTGGCACAAAGCAAGACAGAGTATCTCAGTTTACCTCTCCACATAGGCCCATCAACATAATTATCATAATAATTTGAAGCAAGGTTTTTACAAGTCCAGATGCTCTTCCTGGTGCCCAACTCAGACATTCATGGTAGTGCAAGTACAATGAGGTCAAATCAGGCTTAGGCCTGCTACTAGTAACATGTAGCACACTACAAACTGCTGCATAAACAGATAGTTGGCATTTAAACCAGCTGCCCCATTAGCTTTTCAGCTGGTGAGAAGGGTGGTATGTCACCCCAAAGAATGAAAAAACAAGACCTGTCAAAGAGGGTGGACAAGCTTCTTATAGGAGTCAATGGTCAACTTGCATGCATATATATGTCTAGATAAAAAACCTTATGCTTGATTTGTTTCAGCCACACAATACAATCCATAACAATCATGTGCAGTTGACATGAAATGGGTTCTAGGGACGCTCAGATTAGCCTTCACATTTGCCAGATTTGAATCCTACTGAGTACATGTGGTACCTGTTGCCAACCTCATTCTCTGCAGTCACATTCTACAAACAAATCACTTACGGATACCCTGAAATGTTCCTGAATAGATATACCAATGCAATGATTCCAGCACCTCATAGACTCCATTATCCAGATAAAGCAAGGAGCTAATAGTTATTAGATAGTAGTTTATTTTTTTACATTTCATTTATAAACAATAAGTGAAAATAAGTGATGTAACACAAACTGGAGCAAAAATTTGTACAAGAACTTAGCAGTAGATACCAGTTTCCTTCTCTGGGATTTAAAAAAGAAACTTGATAAAAAAAACAACTCAAAATGACACAAAAATAAATTTCACAGTTTACAGACTGTTGTCTTAAATAGAAAAACTTTTATATCATTATCACAAGTTTTAACTTTAGAAATTAGTTCAGACACCTTTACTTTATAAAATACAATAATGCTCATTACAGGAACTCATTATGAAAGATTTACAAAAAATATCTCACCTTGTCAATATATACAGGGTCTTCTTTAACAATACCTTGTGTTTTCAGCATAGCATAGGCCTCATTTATTTTATTCTCATGTGACAAGCCTTTTGACCAACTATACATTAATTCTATACATCGTTTCTTTACTTTTTCTGATGTTCGAGTGCCCAAATACTGAAATGAAAAAGATAGAGAAGATTAATTGAAAGAACAAACATTAAAAAGTTCTTGTCATTCAAAATTTCTTACTAAAGTTTTAAAATTTCTTCACATGCAAAAATACAAAATAAATGTTTTTGTAAATGCAGGTGAAATTCTAAACCATTTTCATTAAAGAAAGCTTAAAAAGCTTGCCTTAGGTTTTATATTTTGACATCTTTTGCCAAACAGAAATCAACTTTAAAAAATAATGAAGCCTTGAAAGATTTCAGCCAATCACATATTGTCTGACAGATTAGAGTTCAGCATTATTGATAAAAGCTTTAATTTACAACTTGTTAAAAATCCCAATTCCAAACACTAAAATTCAATTCTTGGCTATGAATATAATAGTAAAATCATTTATCAAATTTTACATGCAAACTCATGGAAGAAATGTTATTTTGAACCTTTTGACTTTATCCAATATTAATTTCAGCTACACAAACTAACAAATAGCAAAAAACAGATTTTACACATCATCACAAAATAACATTTTTTATTTCTCAACTAGCAGAGCTGCCTGGTGTTGCCCAGGATTTAAAAAGTTAAAAATAAATCTATAACAACAATATAACTTAAAATTCATTTATTCAAATACAAATATATCTTTAAACAGTTTTTATATTACAATACTTCTTGGTAAACAATATTCTTTATCTTTCCTTGTGAAGCATAAACAAACAAATTGGTTTTACTTCCTATACGTGAACAACAAACATACAACTGCCCATGAGAGAAACAGGGTTCTTCTACCTGTAGTCCAGTAACTGATAGAGTCTGGCCTTGTACTTTGTTAATAGACATAGCAGAACTTACTCATACTGGAAACTGAACTCTCCTAAATGTGAATGGAATATCCAACCCTGATGGAATAAGGGGAATCCTGGGAATAAAGACATATTCACCTTTTCCAAACCCAGTAAGAACTGATACCTCAATTACATGTGGCATCAACTTCTTAACCTCAAGTCTGGTGTCATTACAAAGTCTTGGTGCATTCATATTCTGTAATAGCATTATAGTGAATTTGCTTTGTCTTTTTTTTCAGACCACTGGTCGATGTCTTTTCTTTTAACTAAGGCGAGCAAATTTCTTTCTGTCTTTTTCCTCAGCTCACCCGAATTTGAAAGGAGTTGGTAAAGGGAGTTATTATTAAAAAGACATGTGATCTGTAATTGTACAAACAAACATATACACATACAGACACAATCTTTCTGATAGATAGATAGATAGATAGATAGATAGATAGATAGATAGATAGATATTTTCCAATTATTTTACTTGTTCAAAAAAAAAAAAAAAAGTAATTGTAATCTAAAAAGTTATTTTCTTTTTTTTGTTAATAACTGAAAAAAAATACATGTCATCATTTACATCTTCACAAACTAATGGTAAATAATTACCACTGTTTATTTCATATTATTCTTGCTTCTTTCTTGATTATACTGTTTTTATTCAATGTCTACCAAAAGAGACACAATAGTTATTTTAAGTAAAGAAAAATAACGTTATTGAAAAAAATTTTCAACCCATCCAAGTGTATCTTTTATAATTACATTTTAATCAGACCATTTCCATCTAATTTAAAAATTATCCATTAATGTAAAGCTTGAACAAATTTCAGTTACAATGCCTTCATGTCCACTCATTCCATGAAATTAGAACAATCACATAAAGTCAATAAGTAATGCAAACAAAAATGTCACAGCAACTTACAATAAATTTTCAACCAGTCAAATTTTCATTTAGAGACTCAAAGTCTAACTACCACATTTTTAGAATGCTAAGTATTTAATGGTTCTATAAAAGTTTCATATTTCACAAATGCAAATACAACTTTATGAGCAAATTAAGAAGTGCACTAAATTCCCGGATACAATGCTCCAAATGAAAATATGACAGAGGTGAACAAAACTAGAGACAGAAAATGGTTGTCCATTAGATTTTCCAAATCAATAACTTAGGCATATTTGAAGAGATAAACACTGTGCTATAATGGCTTCCTTACTAATCCTCCTAGAAACAAATGCTTATGAAAATAAAAAAAAATTGAATGATCAGGAACAGACAAATCAATAAAATAGAAAGCAATGATTTCCTTAGGGAAGTTGAGGCATGTATAAAACTGTCATACTGAACAGGTCTTGCAGATCAAGATCACCACCAGGATAAATGACCTAGAGTTTAGGCAACTATGGCCTTAAGCAAATTTAGTAAGAAACAGGAAAGATATTCACACAAGAGAAATTTATTACAGAATATTGAATTGAAAATTCTCGTACGCTCCACCACCAACATATGACACGATGAGATGATTTAATATACCAAAAACTATATTTTATTAGCAAAAAAATGTATAGGATAGAATATCCAAGTGTTGACAAGGTGGAAAGATGTTTTTCAATGATGGTACACACATCTACAATTATATCAAAAGATTCAAGAAATAATAACAGCCATTAATTAGAAGAAAAGAAACCTCTTAACAAGAACAAATACCAATAATTATAATACACAACATAAATTATAATTAAAGATGGCTGCAACCAACAAGAACCTGTTCTACAAGACTGATAATAGCAAAGATTGCTTCCAAACATTTGTTGCTTTTTGCAAAGATATTTATTATAAACAGTAAAAAGAATTTCTGGGATAAGGATTTATCATTATTTACATTTGGACTAATCTCATCATCCTTGTTTCTCTTATCATGTTTTGGCCATTGTACCCTCCAACCTGCTTCAAGTGTTTGTTGATAGGAACCCTAGTGAACAGGCTCATTACATCCAAGCTTACCAGCCAATTGTTATGGATGGGAGCACCTTGAATGGATTCCAACAGCAGTGTCAGCAGCAGGCAAGCAATAAGAACATTAGAATTAAAACTAAGTTTTAGGCTCAGGGCTGTCCTATGGAACAACAGCCCAATGGATTAAAGTGTTGGTTTATAAATTTGGTAACATAGCTATTGCAAGTTCAATCTCTAGGCCATATATTACAAATTTGAAATCAGTGGAAACAGAAAAAGCTGTCACTGTGCAGTATTAAATACGAACAAGTTAAGACATCCTTAGACATGGACAGATGGATGAGAACAAAATATCCTTGTAGATTAAATAAAGGGTTCAGTTTGAAATTTCCTGAAGGTTAACTAGATAAACAGACACCTGTCGAAGGGTGAAGGGCATCACAGGGAAAACATTGTGATAACCGTAACCAAGATGACAACATTAGTTCAAATGGAAATAATGTAAATTGCAAGAATAAATGTTAATCTCTTTACCAATTATTACCCCATCAACTTCACATGCAAATGTCATTAAACAAATTTGCACAAGCAAAATATCTTAAGAGTTACTTTATCTTCTTCATAGAAAAAGATACGAGTTACAGGTCTTCTTCATAGAAAGATCTATGGCCTTTTTACATGAATTACAGACAAATAGACTGAGAATAATTGGAAATCTGGACAAACAAGCAATAACCTGAGAATACACAAACATAAATTGGAAGATCCAGTAAGTTTCTTTAAATAAGTCGCATTATTCCCAGCAGAGGCAGTCTTCAAATCCATCCATCAGATTAAAAAATTTCAAACAGTTGATTGAAAATAAAAATTTCAGATAAAGCAAGCATATAAAAAATTCCCTTGAATTAACAAGAAAAATGTGCATAAAATGTCAACTTTTACTCCATATTTATATATCTTCCAGACAAAAACTTCTTTATATATAAAGTTGTAGCATCTGCCTGCCTGTTTGTCATTGAACTCCTCCTAGGGTTTTGGAGATAGACCCCCATAAACATATATATTCTGAAACTACATTACTGAGGGTACTTGGATATTATTGATCAAAGGTGGTCTCCAGGGGGCACAAACCCCACACTGATTTTTTTTTCCCTTTGATTTAAATGAAATTTGATTTTGAACAAGGGAATGACTCCTATCCAAAATATAGAAGGAGAAAGCCAGAAGATGGAGTTCACATTAGCAAGATCATTGAATAATATTGAAATGGGTCATTTTTCTCCACAAATTATAACAATGATCAGTCAATTTTCTTACAAAAAAAAATGTGTGACACACAACAAGGCATGAGTAATTCGGCTACTTTATGATAAAAATTAAGGATATTTTAAAATGTCCAGTAGTATGACAAAAAATAGCCACTTAGAAGTTAGTTAACCAATTGTAACTTAAGACACAGAATTTCAATGAATAAACAATGTCTACTATTTTTAAGCAGGTGTTTTCTTATTTTTGAGATCAACAGTTTTTTTCCTTACGATCAAGAGTTTTCAACTCACATTTCATCTCAGAAATTTCTTCAGATCAAAAATACACAAGATGGAAGAAGAGCTGGATTCATATATTACCCAAGGCTATTTGTGCATAAGTGAATATAACGAACCCAACTGGAATTGGAACTCAGCTCTCTAATTAACAATTCCAAGCCATTATCCAATACACCATCTGCACATGTAAGCCTGCAACACCTGATATTTCCAAGAGGTCACCCATCTAAGTACTGACCAGGCTTGTTTTATCTTTTAGAAGATGCAGACAAAAGGAAACATTATCCAAAGTTAAACAGTTCCCCATTTGAGCAAATCAGAGCTTTTTTAAGATAGAATAAGACAAAACAATTTAAGAACAAGAAAGTACAAAATATTTAGTAGAAGTGGCAGTATTCAAATGAAGTAGTATAGCCTCAAAATTATATAATCTGTTAACATGTGATATTTTTAATATTAAAAACTATATGGCCTGTTGGCATGTGATATTTTTTTTCTTTGTGGGTAAAGATGGGGAATAAATACGTAGCTTTAATCATTTTGCATCAAAAATATTAGAACCTATCTACGAAGAGAGTCCAGTTTTGCCAGTAAAAAGCCAATGAATGGTCAGTAGCTAGGTAATGTACAGTAAATGAGACAAGAGTCACTCTTTCATCAGAACATTCTCTTGTAAAATGAGAGAGAGGGAGAGAGATTATCCAATTAGAAAAAGACAAAAATAAAATGTCCAATATGATTAGGTGGATGTTCAAAAGTAAAATTTCTATATATTGTTTAGTTCTAGATTATTTCCCATTATTTTCCCTACTGCTGTCCTGATAGAAATGAAGGGTGTAAAATGTGCCTGGGAATGTCTACAAGTCAAAACATCAAAATAGCAAAAGGAATATCTGGATAGTGTCCTTATCAATAAAACACTTCAAGGCTATAATAACAATTGCTAGGCTTCAAATAATACAACAGATAAGCTGTAATATTAGAATGCTGAAATTGATAAGGGAGTGATAATTTGAATATTCAAGAGGTAAATGTTAGCAACAGCAGGCCAAGATTTCAAACACTAGGGGATACTGAAGGTGGCAAATGCAATTCATATGTCAGTAATTACTTCTATTTGGTATCTACTGTTAGCTTCAAAGGACATAATTGAGTCAGTGACTTTTCATCAGATATTCATTGATACAAAGCAAAACATGTTGAGCAATTTTGATCAATTATTTATCACCACATGATGACTTTTCTTGTTAACATATCTACTCTAAGCCAAGTTATGGCTCACCACACAAACAATGACAGACAAGACAAAAACCAGTAACCACCAATGCTATTGATTTATGAATGACAATTCATGAGATACTGTGATTCACTGATGAGAGAACAGATGCATAAATTTATAGAAAATTAAAAAAAAAAATGGAAATTCTTTAAAATTGAAATTTATATAACAATGAAGCAAGTAAAAAGATAAATATAATTTTTACAAAATTGATAGAATTATTTTTTTATAAAAATACCAACATAATAGCCATATAAGATGGAAAGTACTATAATTACTATGAATGGAATTATTTTTAGTTTTTAATCATTTCACCTTAAGCAAGGCTACTAAGACACAAGGGGTTACTGGGAGGGAAAAAGACAATGAGAAGACTTTAGTGGGGAAAAAGGACAATAAAAGAACAGAATTCAGGAAGACAGAGACCAAAAAATTGGAAGCTTGTTCTTAGGAAGACAGGAAATGGTGACTGGTGTTGCATTTAAATTTTTGAAGATTGTAAGTGGCAGGAAAGCAAGAAACTTGAAGAAAATTCCACATGCAAGGAAAGAAACTATTAGAATAGAACTTATCTATTACATCTAGCTAGTTCAACAATAAAACAGGGAGACCTAGTTGCCAATCTGGTAATACAACTAAATCTATGCAGCCAAGGCAGCAAGGAGGAAAGCTCATCAGAAGAATTGCCAAGAGAATATTTATAGGAGAAATAGAGAGAAGCCAAGTCATGACAGTGGGAAAGTAACTGAAGTCAAGACACCAGGTCAGGATCAATTATATTACAGACTCTTTGGATTTTGTCAAGAATCTGGTGATATATAGCAGGAGAACCAAAATCAGATATGACAACAATATTAAATGGATAGATAAATGTGCAAAAGGGATTCTGACAAGAAGAATAGTATGATACATCAAACCAATTTTCCTAACAGTAGACCTATCAATTCATTCAATATAATCACTCATTATATGTGAATGGAAAACTTGAGTCCAAGATGATGCAAAATGTTGCTCTCTTGGAGGTTAGTATCAGCCATGCTGATGGAAGGAAGAAAAGGTTCTCTATAGTGATTAAATGATATCCGTTTTGTTTTGGATGCTATAAAGAATATTTTACAGGCTATAAAGAATAATGATTAAGGTCAACAATGCAGTTAATTACCTTTTCTTTTCCTTATGAAAAAAAGACAAGTATTGAAAAATTAATAATAAAAAAGGACTAAAAAAAATAATCACGATATCCAAATAGAAAGCCAAAAATTAAGGAAGTCATTAAAAGTAAATTAATGTTCTTAATAGTAGATTATAAGATATAAAAAATAAAGTTTTCATAGAATTAAAAAAAAATTATTATAGTAAAATTTAACATCATTCATTGACATTTATATTTAGTGCAAGCAAGACATGATATTTTCATATTGAAAATCATAGTCACCTACAAATAAACAGGTCTAATAGAAGTAATAGCTTTAAGTGTACTTCTTCAAAATGAAACTATTTAAGATGTAATCAAAAGGAGCATGAGTAGAAAATTTGAAGAAGAAAAACAGATGAGAAAAGAAAAATATTGCTACAGAAAAGGAAAAATATCAATTTGTTAATCAACTGTATGAAGAGGACACAATGTCAAAGAAACCTGGAAACTTCCACCTTAGACCACATCTATCAAGGTCTACATAGAATATTTTATTTCAGTGACATTCATATCTGATAAATGGATGGGAAGGGCTTAAATCACATTAACCTGTTATAAAATATTTATTTACACACCCAAAACACATTACAATATTACTTGCAAACCAATGACCATTACTAAAATTATACTTTTTTTTTGTTTACCAGAGAGAGAATCAAGTACAAGATGTTGCCAGCTGTCAGTTTTCAACATTTACTTATATAAAAAAGAAAAAAAAGAGACTTCCCAAAATCCTCTTACCTTTGGAGATACAACTTTGATGATCTCATTTAAAAACCTAAATTTTCCAATTTCTGCATGAAATCGTCGTCCACAGTTTTTCACACATGCTTCTAGTGTCTGAAATAAATATAAAATAATCATTAAGAGATATCCAACCATTTTCATAAATAAAAATGACTAGAAAGAACCAGAGCTTGAATTTTTAATTCATGTTAGACACACAAAAAAGAAAATCTAAGCTTTTGAATTCCAATTTATTCATTTTGGTTTTCTGGATAAATGAATTTGCTATAAAGCTCTGTCTCACTCTCACACATACACAAAAGACAGGCACATATATTATGAATACATATATAAGCATACCTAATGAAATTTGCTTCTATTCAATCCCTTCACTTGCAAACAAGCTCTGATGTCCTTGCTTTTCTAGTTATTGCTATCATCCAAATGTTAGTGTTCTCTCAAAACCACATGTATAGACAGGCACATATAAAATGGTTCACATTATAAAATCAGGTTTCACCAATAAGGATATTTTATAGTGAGAGGTTTAGTACTCTAATATTCAAATGAATTGAAAATGCACAAATGCTTACTTACATCTATACTGTGAAGAAGTTAAGGAGTGTGTATCTGAAAAACTACACATTGTCTACAGAAATTTCATTGCAATGAAAAATTAAAATATATGGATAATCTATACAAACATACATATTTGAGTGTGTATGTGTATATATATATATATATATATATATATATATATATATATATATATATAAGTGGACACTGAGGTCAGCACCAAGCAGTGACAGGCTGTTTCATGGTTGAAGGTGTGATGATTGCATTCAAGCATAAAACAGACTGTCACTACTTGGTGTTAACTTGTGTCCACTTTTATATTTGCATACACACTATCCCTGATATTGAGCACTTTTAACCATAAATATGGCATACCTTAAAACTATATTTTTATCATATGGTCCTCATGTATAGCCAGCTTGACAGTGGACAAAGAAATGCTGGATGGCCTTGGCTCAGGTATAAAGACAAGCTAAATAGTAACTTCTTGGCTGTCAATGTGTCTCATACTAACTTCAAGTGAGTTGCCTTGGATAGAAATAACTGGAGATATTTGTGCCAGAGTGGTATCAGAATCAGTTGTATTGACCAGCTAAGAGAAAAAAAACAACAGTGAAAAGTGTCAGCAAATATTCCTGTTGATATAGTCCAAGATCCTCGCTGTTGCACAATATATGGACTTGTATACAGGTCACTAGTGGGACTGAAGTGTCACATATGACACAAACATAAAAACTGAATGAGATTGTTGAATCCTCATATGTCAAAATCGAAGGAAGAATCAATCGTGTATATATATATATATATATCAGACAGAGTGAGATATAAATAGATATTACACTTGATCATGTTGTAGTATAAATTATGAATATTATGCCAGAGTTGTATACTGTCTTTAGATAGCCCTATATGGAAATATTCTTTATTTTTTCTTATTAAGTTACTGTCTAAAATGAATACTTGGTATTCAAGACATTACTATCTCATTTGCATATAACCATAGTTCAGAGTTTTAGAGCATTGGTTTATAAATTAAAAATAAAGAGTTTTATTATCACTTAAAGTTATTTAAAGGGCTAAGGCTAATTTATTTGGAAATTTTGTTTGTAACGTGTCAGCTCTACAGAATGATGCAATTGAAGAAATAAAGCTTCAGTTATACAAGTTAATTGAGAGTTCTAGATGATTTGAAGGTTATTCAAAACCCAATTGACTTCCTATTTCGTGTTCTTCCCAAAAGCACTATCCAGAAATCCAGATGCACATCATGAATCCAGATGCACATCATGCTTCTCAGAAATTTTGATCCTCCAAAGTTATACAATGAAACTCTCCAATATAGTAAGCAGATTACTGAATAATGTGTGTAATATGAATGTAAGAGTAGAAAATAGGAAATTAGAATATATATAATAAAAAAAGAGACAATGCTAAATGTTCTCACGCCAATCAAATTCCCAAAATCTAGACAAAGAAATGATTTTTTTTTTCTTGAAATCTCTTGCTCAATCTGAGAATCTCATTCAGCTTTTGTCATTATTTGTCTTAACTGCCTCATATTGTATTATAGTAATTTTGTGAGGAAAAGAAATGTTGGACATAAATTTATATAACTTGTTGGCAGGATGGGTATGCAAAAAAAATGACAGCAGAATAAGGTTATCTACATGAGTAACTGTGTAGCAGGTACTTGCTGCTCTTCACTGATGGTGTGATTTGAAAATAGTCGAATTTACCAAAACATTTAGAGATAATAGTGGTCAAGTTTCAGGGCTCAATAGGTTAATATAAATTTAAGCCTAATAACATCAAAGTATAAAAGATGTTTGTAGGAACAGAAAAAGGATTTTACGTTTTTATGTTTACATAACAGTGCAAATTTTGAATTAGGATAAAGTAACCCTATCAAAGGGCAGCATATTACATATCTAATTGATCTTTATTGGTCTGGACTAAACACACTTTGGAATTAAATCTTTCATGCCAAATACAAATAATTCATTAAAGTTAGAAAAAAAAATCAAAATCAATGTGAAATACAACAGTCAAGAAAGAAAATGCACAATTTTTTAAATAGATTGTCACATCAAATTTTGCAATTTTTAAAAAAAATCAAAATAGTTTCATATCTTAAGTTACATGGGTGTGATGAAAGTTCTTGAACCAACTAAGATGTCCTTCACAGTCATATTTTAAAAAGTGGATTAGAATGAAAACTTTTCAGCACTAGTACATAAGTAAAAATAAATTTATGTTATTTTTGCTTTGGCAAAAATATAGTGCCTACTTAAAATACAGTTTAAACATCAATTTTTTAATGCAAAAATACCAAATAAGTACATTGGCATAATTTGTGTCATTTCTTTTTTTTACAATTATAAAGAAGATTGATAAGTAAAGCAGTAGTTATTCCTAACTAAATACTAGTAAAATACTTAAAATCTTAATAAAATAAAAGTTTTCAGTTGTGGGGAGAGAGGGTCCCTTGAATCTGTCACTGATAATATGAATACAAGTAAATATTCACACCCACCCCATCAAGGTGGTTGAGCAGATTTCATCCAAATGAACTTTACAAATTTCATTACAAGTTTCATTAAGGACATTCAATTTGCTTGATGTCACTAAATCTTTAGCCAGATGAATAGGAGCCACTATCTTCATGCCATATAATGCTTTATCTGATATGAGGAAACTGCAAAAAACCTATCAGAAAAATCAAGACAGTTTTACTGTTACTACTGCTAACAAGGAAAATTTAAAAAGGTAAAAATTAAACCAAATTGCTGGTTAATTCCTTTGCGCCTCTCATTTCAAATGACATGTTTAAAAATATGAAGGAAACTAATTAAGCAATTTAAGAAAAACCCTTGCTTTATCCCTCATGTAAAGGGATGCACAAACTATAATAGATAGCATCAAAGTTTTCAGGTCATCCTCAACTGTAATGTTTCAAACCAACCATCTTTATCATTCAATATTTATTACACAATAATATATACAACAACTGAACTTAAAACCAATTTCCCGTAATAATGAACATTCTCAAGTATACACAAAACCAGACAAGCAGATTCATTTCAAGAGAGTATCTTACCTTTTTCTAAGTTCATATCAGCTCTGTAAAGGATTTCTAGTAAAACAGAATTTTTTTCTTCATTAACTTAGAATTTTCTTTATTACTTTAAAAACATTAACTGAAGTTTTCTAAACAGTCTTGATTGAAAGAAACTTGGGTAATGAATTGACTCAATACAAAGTTGGACAGATATCAATCCAGGTATATAATTTACAAAATAATAATATAAACAAATCTAGAGAAACCCACATTCTTATTTGAAGACATGATTGAGGAATTGTTAGTATTCACAGCAAGTTTCACAGTGGCCAAAATTGAAGTAATCAGGTTATGTAACAGCATTTATTCTTGATTGTAATGGAATGAAGACCCATCAGTTTTAAGGATTGCAAAATTTGCTTCAAAATTGAATTATCAGATAATTGAACATAATTTATCAGAGGCATTAAAATGTGACAAAGTTAACATTCTACAGGAATTTCTTTTCATTAGTACTGCTAACATTATCACCTGGGAGAATCTTAATGCATTAAACCTTGGGACTACTATGTATAATCCTAACCTTACATGTTCTATCTTGGTCAATTTAATCTGTGCATGTCAATAAGTCATCATATCAGTCTTAGATATCATGAGTTTTGCTGATGACAAAGTGGAAAAAAAAAAAAAAAAAGGTGGAATTACCAAATTAAACTAAATTTGAGTTCTGATTGCCAAGTTTACAAATTATATTTTAGTGTTAACAATAAATCAAACATCTTTCAATACTAAACTCTCACTTTCACAGTTCGATAATCTGATAGATGATTTTATGAATGCCTTCTTGTTTAGCAATCAAATTCAAATGTACACTGGTGGATAGAGAGATTTCTAATAATTTGATTACCCTGGCAGTCATTTTAAAAATCAAATTCAAGTTGGGTTGATAAACGAAAATACCTTATTGGGAGCTATTCAAAAAAATGAATTTTTATTACTTCATCAGTGAACAAAAACAAAAAAAAAATGGGCTGGATCATAAAAAAAAGATCAATTTTCCTATTTGTGTATGTGTTTATTACTTAAAAAAAGAAAAAAAAGAAACAAGAAGAAACAATGGAAAATAATTTACATTACATCACTAAAAGTCAAAGATTATTAACAAAAACAGCATTGTTCTTAATACGAAAAACTGTTGGCCATGAAAACATTTGTTTGTATAAAAGTCTTCTTTATATAGTTAAACCTAGAGAGCCAGACAAACCTACTAAGGTTTCAAGGTTGTATATATATATATATATATATATATATATATATATATATATATATATATGTGTGTGTGTGTATATATATATATATATATATATATATATAGTTAAACCTAGAGAGCCAGACAAACCTACTAAGGTTTCAAGGTTGTTATATATATATATATATATGTGTGTGTGTGTGTGTGTGTGTGTATATATATATATATATATATATATATATATATATATATATT